GGGGGGGGGGTCGAGGCTGGGGGGTGAGCCACGAGTGCGGCCCTGGGCGGCAGGGTGGGACTCGGACCCCAAACACACAGGACTCTGGGAAGACTGGCCGCGGACGCGCTGTTCTCGAGGAGGGAAGTCGTCCTTGAAAAAGAGCATCTGACCCCACGAGAGACCCGGCAGTCACGACTGCGAGGGAGCAGCTGGATTCAGGGAGCAGCTGGGTTCAGAGAAATATCTGGACGCAGGCGGCGTCTACCTGCAGGGGAGTACCTGGATACACGGGAGTATCTGCGTGGAGGGGAGGATCTGGGCGGAAGGGAGTATCTGGGTGGGAGAATCTGGGAGGCAGAGGAGCACCTGGATACAAAGGAGTACCTGGGTGGGGGGGCCTGGGTACAGCGTAGCACTTGGAGACAAGGGAGTATCTGCATGGATGGGAGTATCTGGAGGCGGAGGGGCACCTGGATATAAAGAAACATCTGCATCTGGAGGCAGAAGGGCACCTGGATACAAGGGAGTATCTGCATGGATGGGAGTATCTGGATGCAGAGCAGCACCCGCTGAAGGAAGTATCTGTACAGGGGAGAGTATCTGGGTGGGAGTATTTAGAGGCAACATTGCTCCTGGACCCATGGGAGTAACTACATAGAGGGGAGTATCTGGATGCAGAGGAGAACCTGGATCCAAGGGAGCATCTGTGTGGAGAATCTCTGGGTTGAAGAATCTGGATGCTGAGGAATACCTGGGTACAAAGGACTATCTGCATGGAAGAGGGAGTATCTGGAGGTCGAGAAGCCCCTGGATCCAAGGGAGTATCTGCACGGAGGGGAGCACCTGGGTGGGAGTATCTGAATGCAGGGGAGCACCTGGCTACAAAGGAGTATCAGCATGGAAGAGGGAGTATCTGGAGGTCGAGGAGCACCTGGACCCAAGGGAATATCTGGTAGGGAGTATCTGGGTGGGAGTATCTGGAGACCGAGGAGCACCTGGATTCAAGGGAGCATCTGTCTGGAAGAGAGTATCTGGGTGGGAGTATCTGGGGGCTGAGGAGCACCTGGATCCAAGGGAGTATCTGCATGGAGGGGAGCACCTGGGAGGGCGTATCTGGATGCGGGGGAGCAGCTGGGTCCAAGGGAGTATCTGTCTGGCAGAGAGTATCTGAGTGGGAGTATCTGGGGGCCGAGGAGCACCTGGATCCAAGGGAGTATCTTCTGGTAGAGAGTATCTGGGTGGGAGTATCCGGGGGCCGAGGAGCACCTGGATCCAAGGGAGTATCATCTGGTAGAGAGTATCTGGGTGGGAGTATCTGGGGGCCGAGGAGCACCTGGGAGGGAGTATCTGGATGCGGGGGAGCAGCTGGGTCCAAGGGAGTATCTGTCTGGCAGAGAGTATCTGGGTGGGAGTATCCGGGGGCCGAGGAGCACCTGGCCCCGAGGGAGCACCTGCACGGAGGGGAGCACACCCGGGCGGGCCAGCCGCCGCCCACCCCCCACCGGAAACCCAGGACAACCCCCTCCCCATTTCCGGAACGTCTCAAAAAAAAAAAACCCAGCCCGGGGGGCCCCACC